TGGGAATTTTTCCTTCCCATTCTTATGCTCGGTTCTGTCACGTGTGCTAAAGGAGACTTTCATTCCTATCGGTATCTGGTAGCCTTGATTCACTGTCACTCACCATTCCTCGAGTCTCTACCTTACCACTATGAGGGCTCAGCCGAAGACATTACCGACACCGGGTCTTAAATTGCAGTGAACGTATTATCATCACTTGCCTAACTACTGTATCCGGTATGCAAGATACACTTTCGACGATCGAGTAACTGGTCCTACATAACCCTGGTTCTATCCGCTTGGAACTGGGTTCAACACTTATCAAAATTCGCGTAGGATTTATTGCGGATACGTTCTTGCTTTCGCTTTAAAATACAGTTTGAAGGTAAGCTTTAAATGAAAAGTAACAAAATGATTTACGAATGAGTTGTAAGTCACCTATTGTTTTTAAAAATGCATAATTAACTATGCTCAAAATTTTATATCAACCGGAAAACGGTGGAGAAAAATGGGCTTGTGTTCCCTTGTGGCATGAGTTTATTCAATGAATTCACTGATCGATTGTTTCCGTTAATAAATCCTTTGTAAACACCTATTTGACTGAACGCCTTCATCACTGTGAAATTTAACTATATGAATTAAAAAATTATTGGAGGAAAAATATTGCTAGTTTTATAATATTTTTTACCTTAAAGGAGCAGTTCGCATGGGTTCATGTCATAAGACAAAATATCCTTGAATGTAGCTATACTCGGCGCTCACTTACTGATTACAAACTTATGAACAATGTGATCATCATTTCCCTGATCTCAGTGGGCTTTTGGGGTTTCTAAATGAAGTGCTGAATCATTTTGACAACAATGCTAGCTATGCATTGATTCAGACCAACTCGCATCCGGTTTTATATCCACTTGAGTAGAAAGCGCACCGAGGAACACCGACGTCACATAGACTGCTGCTTATTCGGTTCATTTTCTATCTTACTGAAACTTACTACCTTATAGAAGCACTAATGGTGCTAACAGTTGTCATCAGCCACAATTTCCCGATCTCAAATTTTGGCCTCCTGTCTCCCTTGCTTAAAACCCGCCAAGTTCAGCTCCGTATTGGGTCTTGCGGAAAACCTCCCTATCGGCGTGTTTTGTTCCAAAGTGCACCAGCACTGCTCAATGCAACCGTATGATGCTGACGAATCATTGCACATCACTGGCAATTATTTCGTGTGATGCAGAGTGACGTTCCACATGGGAATGACAAACCCCGAGGAGACCATGACATTTTTTTCCATATCAGGTGAATGCATGTTTTGTGTCTTATAATATCACAACGCAAATTGATAGCACAGTTTTGGCAGTGACCGTCATTGAAATATTTTGTGTTTAATTTGATGGTGTCTGAAATTCTTGTTGTAAAGCTCAATCTTTCAAGTTCATATAATTACTACTCATAAGTAAGAAAACACGAATCAAATGTTTATTAAAGTGTGCACGAGCGATGCTATAAAGGAAATTATACTATAATTTTGATGAAAGGAATGAAAACTCCATTCTATCAGAATAAATAGCACACACGTCTGTCCTACCCCGATTCACCATGTTCACGATTCCAAAACTAACCGTGATATGCGATCGAAAAAGTTTGTGAACTTTACTACCATTGAAATTGTTGAACTATCATGTGTACTTCATGCTGAAGTTTTCATTGTTCCGCAGCCTTCCAGTTCACCAAACTATAATCCTGTTGAACAACATTGCGATGAAATCCACAGAAAAAAATCGTGAAACTTTAAAACTTGAGGCGAATACTTCCACCCCGCTGATCAGAAATTTATTGTCCCTTTCTACACTACGACACACAGTGTCTGTGTGCTATTATCCCGAACCAAGTGGAAGGTACTAAATGACTTTAGGTTTCGTATCAACACGTATTTTTTCCGCGCTTAGAGCATTTTCATTGAGATATCTTGGCAAATTTCGTTTGGCGTGAGTTCTGACCTGGGAAACTGAAGATATTCATTTTCGATTCGTCCCGATTTACCAACAATAGGGGTTTCTCAATTTCACGCTATATGAAGGATGAGCAAATTGTTTCTGAACGCACAAAACGTTTTAGTTTTTACACAAAAATAAGCATTCGATTTTCTCGAAGTATCCTCCACTAGCGCTCATGCACAGTTCCGTGCACCCAAGCCATTTGGTGAAACAGCTCATCCCTACCCTTCGACCTCCACGTCGGCCTCTACTGCAGCTATTGGTGACTCTCGTCGGAGCTGTTTGCAGGTGCATTGCCAGCTAGGTTCCTAGTGTGCGAGTTCTTGGACGATACCTGGTAACAGCTTCTAACAGTTGAGGCAGTCAGTGGGTATTGCATACCAGTTGCAAGTGGCTGTACCTTGCTGTACGAGTCGTACCGTAGCCACATGACCGGTTTTGGCCATGAACACAGTCAGCATCTGCTTTGCCACAGAGCCCTCGTATTGGAAATTTTGAGATAGTGCCCCACCAACCGGCATCCACTGAGTCGAATAATACTTGGTCTCTGGGTCGAAACTGAACACTCAAGTCTCATTACCACTGATGACCTTCCAAACTGCATTGAACCATCCACCATCAATCATACCTGACAAGCATGGTGCGGTGCCAATTCACCCGAGCTGCTTTCTGTTCCTCACTGAGCTGAGTTACTCAGCGTGTGCAAACCACTCGGATGCTTATCATATAGGATGGTAGGAATTGATACCAATGGCTTTCGCCAACTGTGCCACTGTTATCCGCGCATCCTTCTCCAACATCGTTCAGAGAGGAGCTACGCTGTCCGCTGTGTTGACCTCCACAGGTCCACCACACCATATCACATCATCCGGAAACGGCCTGGCACACTTGAATTCCGAAAAACAGAGCTTCTTGAGGGTTCGTCATCACCAAAGGCTCCTCAAAAACGATCAACACTGTGCTGCTGCTTTAAACTAAATTTGTAGTCGTAGAAAATCATCGTCTTGCAGTGACATCGACTGAGTTTAATCAGTACAGTCGGAGTATGGCGACACTTATGACTTGTGAGCCGTGCTGCGCTGTTGATATTTGTTTCTGTGAATTGCAATCACTGAATAATATTCACAATCGATAACAATTCACATAATCCTTGCCTGGTCATCTTTACCTTGTACTCGTGTATTGCGTATCCGGAAACGTTTTGTTCAACCCTTGTATGAATCAATGAGAATTCTTTTATGGTTTTCACCAACAGTAAATGAATGACAATGAAAATGTGTGCATTTGTTTCATTGCAACGTGAACACTTCCACACCGTGCAAAAATGTTACTTGACCCTAGGGTGTGTATGGTTTAGCGTATTGTCCGCCTGCCATGGGTGTTTGATGAACGCATTTATTTCCTTCTCTCTCTCTCAGGAAAGGTCATTTTTGCTATTAGAATACAGGTGAATATGAGTTTTGAGATCAGGTGATAATTACCCCGTATTGGATATTATCGATTGGGGGAACTATTTTTTCCCTTCAATACTATGAGATTCTCGAAGTGTTTGTGTTTAATATCGCATTGGATACCACCCAGCAGAATGTGCGCAATTCTATAGTATTCTGTTGTAACGCTACCTCCTTGCCTCGAGATGCAAAAAATCCTGTCGCGTTGAAAAAAAGGTTGAAATATATTGGTCCAACTTCCATTTAATAAGCTATAACTTCCAGTGAATAGACCGGACGCGTTCCCCTGGTAATGACACTATCCAATCGGTTCATCGTTCGCTACAAATCATCTGTTTCGCTCGGTCTGCTGCAACATTTTATGAGTGATTCGCTCGGCAATGACGAAGATCATATTGCCTTCGGGCCCGACCCTCTCTGTCATTGAGTACCTATATAGGAAAGGCTCACCCATGCCATGGTTCGTGTTCATGTTTACCCCTTGGCTTGGTGATGGGCTTTTTGGTTTTTTTATTGCAACCTATTTTACCCGGTCGTCGGAATTCAGTTACCAAGGTTTCGTTCATTCTCATCTAAACCCCACACGAAAAACAGTCAAAGATCCCACGTTCCCGAGGCATGAACGATCAAACCCAAACTCGCCATGATCTTCATCATTGCAGGGAGAATCACTCACAAGTACATTTTTTACCTTATTGTGACTTCAGTTCACCTCGGATGAACGGGCGTTGCAACAAAGTAGATGGATTTTAGCGGCTAATGCACTAATCCAATAATGGCGTTACCGGAAGTACGTGCTGGGTAAAATAACGTGAAGTTACAACGCTTTCCTGTAAGATGCAACGGAAACGTTTCAACCTTAAATCAGCCAAACATTCACTCCTTTCAATATAACACAACGTTTGTACTGATTACAGGCCAAATCATCCTTCTTTGCATGTTCTAAAGCGAAATAACCGAACTTTCAACCAAATGTATTTCGTCTTGATGAACTCATATTGAATCTACAGGTAACAACACCATTGGACACTGCCGCTCGCAGTTAGCATTAAAAAAATCATCCTGACTAATTTCGAACCTAATCTTTTTCTTTATTGCTGTCAGTGTCAACTGAAGCAGATAAATGCATGCATTTATGATCATCGTTGATCAACAGGAATGCCGCCTTTACGAATCATGACCTTAGTGATAAGATCATTGACATCAAATACTGCCACAACTTGATGCACGTGCTAGAAAGAAGTCGCTTTAGCTGGCCAATGGAGAAACCACTCAGTACCAATCGCACATGTTCTGTGGAGGTTTGGGGATCTAGTGAAGCGACTTCGCCAACCACAACCGGTGAAGCGTTGATTATAACTCCATTTAAAAAGGAGGGATTTCTTACTGGGTTTTGTTCCAGATACATTCTTCCAGCTATTATTGCAAACACCACTAACCTCTAAACACCTTACTCCAGGGTTGCAGATGAGGTACAATTGAGGCGACGTTGAAAGTAAGAAAGCCCTGATCACGTCAAACAGAAAAAGGTCAAATAATATGGCTCTCAACCAAAAGATGCACTTTTAAATAAATGTTAAGGTATCTAAAGTAAAAGCCTATTATGCTTGTACTTGCTACAGAATTCAATGGTATACTATTCACTAGAATTAACAACCGCATTCTAACTGTGAATTTGAATTTGAGGCGTCATATGAAAATACAGAATTGTTAATGTCCAATTATTACTTCATTGTTCAACTCACATCGAACTGGATATCCACTGGTTGCTGAATAAATGCAATCACTTGGTGCATTAATCGAAGCCACGTGCGTCTGCGTCCGGGAGCTGCGTGTGTAATCATCGGAGATGTGAATGTGGGCATTAAACAATGTGGACGACCCCGTGCGTTAGGTCTGTCGTACTTGGCCTGACACAAGCTATTCCCGCTACTGTGAACTGTCGGTGCCGATCCCTGGGGTAGACCGG